TTTAACCCTTGAGAGGACAGGCTAATTTAGGCAATATAGTATAAGAATTGTGGAAGGTGATTACAGAGTAGTATGTCCAAGGGCACACAGCTAGTAAGCTATACAGAATAAATTTGAACCCAAATAGTCAGTATGTGAAAATATTAGCTTTACTAGGTCTCTACTATAAAATTAAATCATAAAATCCAATCAAAAATCATTTATAGGCAGGTACTAATGACAAAGAAAAGCAGAGGAGCCTAATTAAAACAAATAATCAATTTTCACAAATCACGGACACACCAGACCCTTTAACAATTTTACTAATTAAGATGAAAAAAACTCAATCAGGGCGTGTTTTTTAAGAAAGGAAGATTCAACTAACTTTTACAACCTGGAGTTTTTCTTTTAACTACATTTTTACACTATCTTTGAAGTGCACAATGTTCTATGTTTAGTGTTGCTCAATAAAATTGTCTGCATTGATAGAAATATTCAGCATTGGTGATATCCAATATGGTAGCCACTAGTCACAAGAACACTAAAAATATGGCTACTGAGATTGAGGAAGTAAACTTTAAATTTAATTTTTTTCAGATTTAATGATACAATTAACATATAATAGTAAGTTTAAGGTATACTTTTGTGTTGATTTAACGTATTTATATATTGTGAAATGTGATTACCACAGTAGTATTATAATAGTTAACACCTCCATCACCTCACATAATTACCATTTCTTTCTTGCGGTGAGAACATTTACTCTCTTAGCAACTTTCATTTATATGATACAATATTGTTAACTATGATCACCATACTGTACATTAGATCTCCAGGACTTATTCATCTTATAACAGGAAGTTTGTACCCTTTGATCAACATCTCCCCATTTCCCCCACTCCCCATCCCCTGGCAACCACCATCCTACTCTCTGTTTCTAGGAATCTGGCTTTTTTAGATTCCACATATAAGTGAAATCACACATTCTGTCTTTCTTTTCCTACTTATGTCATTTATCACTTGTGATTATGGCAAAATATTGCTTGAGCAATGTTGGCCAGTGTCCACTTGCATACGTTTTTTTGGCACCCCGGTATATACTCACACACACATATACATATACACACATATACGTATACACACACACACACATACACATTCACACACACACACAATATCCAGAAGTGGAATTGCTGGATCATATGGTAGTTAAATTTTTCATTTTTTGAGAAACCTCCATAATGTTTTCCATAGTGACTACACCAATTTACAATCCCACCAACAGTGCATAAGGGTTCCTCTTTCTCCATATCCTCACCAATCCTTGTTATCTCTTGCCTTTTTGATGACAGTCATTCTGACAGGCATGAGGAGATATCTCATTGAGGTTTTCATTTGCATTTCCCTTGTGATTAGTGATGAGAGCACCTTTTCATGTACTTGTTGGTCATTTATAGGTCTTCTTTGGAGAAATGTCTATTCAATTCCTCTGTCCATTTTTCACTGGATTGTTTGATTCTTTGCTATGGAGTTGTATGAGTTTCTTATCTATTTTAGGTTTGCAAATATTTTCTCCCATTCTGTAGATTGCCTGTTTGTTTTCTTTCTTTTCTTGTTAAGAAGCTTTAGTTTGTTATCTTTGCTTTTCTTGCTTGCACATTTAGTGTTATATACAAAATAACTGTTGCTAAAACCAGTATCAAGGAGTTTTTTCCTATGTTTTCTTGTAGGAGTTTTACAGTTTCAGGTTTTACCTTTAAGTTTATAATTCGTTTCGAGTTAATTTCTGTGAGTCGTATAAGAGAAAGGTCTGATTTCTTTTTTCTGCATGTGATTGTCCAGTTTTCCCAGCACCATTTTACTGAACGGACTATCCCTTCCCCATTGAGTAGTCTTGGTTCTCTTGTCGAGTATTAGCTGACCATATATGCAGCAGTTTATTTCTTGGCCTTTGATTCTGTTCCATTGGTCTGTGTGTCTATTTTTGTGTCAGTGCCATACTGTTCTGATTTCTATAGTCTTGCAGCATAGTTTGAAATAAGGAAATGTGATACCTCTAGTTTTGTTCTTTCTCAAGATTGCTTTGACTATTGTGGTTCCATACAAATTTTAGGATTATTTTTTTGTATTTCTGTGAAAACATAAAAGTGGTAAGAGTGGGCATCCTTGTCTTGTTCCTGATCTTAAGAGGAAAAGCTTTCAAGCTTTCAATGATGGGTATGATGTTAACTGTGGGTTTGTCATATCTGGTCTTTATTATGTTGAAGTATGGTCCTTCTATACCCAATTTGATGAGAGTTTTTATCACGAAAGGAAGTTTTATTTTGTCAAATGCTTTTCCTGCATCTATTGATCATACAATATTTATCTTTCATTCTATTAATGTGATGTAGCACATTAACTGATTTGTGTATGTTAAACCATCCTTGCATCCCAGGGATAGATTCCACTTGATCATGGTGTATATCCTTTTAATGTGCTGTTGAAGTCAGTTTGCTAATATTTTGTTGAGAATTTTATGCACAGACATCTATTGCATCTATATTCACCAGGGATACTGGCCTATCGTTTTCTTTTCTTGTAGTGTCTCTATTTGGCTTTGGTATCAGGGTAATGTTGACCTCGTAAAATGAATTTGGTAGTGTTCCCTCCTCTTCAATTTTTTAGAAGAGTTTGGGAAAGACTAACAGTAATTTTTTTTTTTTTTAATGTTTGGTAGATTCACCTGAGAAACCATCTCATACTGAGCTTTTCTTTGTTGGGAGGTGTTTGATTACTGATTCAATCTCTTTACTTATTACTGATCTGTTCAGATTTTTTATGTCTTCATTATTCAGTTTTGGTAGGTTTTGTGTATTTCTAGGAATTTATCCATTTCTTCAAGATTAACCAATTTGTTGGCCTATAATTGTTCATAGTAGTCTCTTACGATCCTTTGTATTTCTGTGGTATCAGTTGTAATGTCTCCTCTTTCATGTCTGATTTTGAGTCTTCTTTTATTCTTAGTCTAGCTAAAGGTTTGTCATTTTCGTTTATCTTTCAAAAAAAACCAGCTCTTGGTTTCACTGATCTTTCCTATGTTTTTTCCAGTATCCATTTCGTTTATTTCTGCTCCGATCTTTATTTCCTTCCTTCTGTTAATTTTGGGTTGAGTTTATTTTTATGTTTCTAGTTCCTTGAGGTGTAAAGTCAGGTGTTCATTTGAGATCTTTCTTTTACCTTAATGTAGGCAATTATCTCTTAGAGCTCCTTTTGATGCATGCCATAGGATGCACACACCGCCATATTACAGTGTTAAGAGTATTCTGAATTTGACTATATACTTACCTTTACTAGTGTGTTGTGATTTTGTTGTTTTCATGTTAATAATTATCAATCATCCTTTCATTTCAGCTTGGAGCGCTCCTTTTAGCATTTTTTATAAGGAAGGTTTAGTAATGGACTCCCTCCGCTTTTGTTTGTCTAGGAAAGTCTTTTATCTCTCCTTCATTTCTGAAGGATAACTTTGCTGGATAGAGTATTCTTTGTTGGCATTTTTTTTTTCTTCTTTCAGCACTTTGGATATATCATCTGTCTCTCTCCTGGTCTCTAAGGTTTCTGTTGAGAAATCCACTGATAAATATATGGGGGTTCCCTTGTTAAGTTTCAAACTTCTTTTACTTTGCTGCTTTTAAGATTCTCTGTGATTTTGACAATTGTATTATAATGTGTCTTGGAGAAGATATCTTTAAGGTGAGTTTGTTTGGTAACCTATGAGCTTCATGAACTTGGATATCCAAATCTCTCTCCATATTTGGGAAGTTCTTGGCTATTATTTATAAATAAGCTTTCTGCCCTCTTCTCCCTCTGTTTCCTTCTGGAACTCCAACAATTCACAATTTTTTTTTTTGATGGTGTCCCATATATCACGCAGGCTTTCTTCACTATGCTTCATGCTTTTTTCTTTGTTCTCCTCTGAACACATAATATCAAATTTCCTGCCTTCTAACTCACCAATTTTTTCTTCTGCTTGATCCATTCTGCTATTGATGGTCTCTATTCCATTTTTCATTTTCATTCATTGTATTCTTCAGCCCCAGAATTTCTGTTTGGTTTCTTTTTATGATTTATATGTCTTTGTTAAACTTCTCATTTTGTTTGGTATTGTTTCCTGATTTCACCGAATTGTCTGCATTTTCTTGTAGTTCATTAAATTTCCTTAAAACAGCTATTGTGAATTCTTTATTGGGTAGCTCTTCATGTTTTGGGGATCAGTTACTGGAAGATTATTGTGCTCCTTTGATGGTGTCATGTTTCCTTGATTCTTCATGCTCCTTGAAGTTTTGTGTTTCTGTTTTCATATCAGAAGTAGTAGTTATCTCCTCCAGTTTTTACCATCTGCCCTCTCCAATGCATCCAAATTCATATATTTTTTTTTTGCTCCAACAATGTGCTATAACTTTTTCTGCTGAAAATCTGGACTTCCAAAAAGGCTCTCTTGTCTAAGACAGTGTTTTTCAGGCACTCTCAAACCATGGAGCCATTTCACAGGCCACTGCAAGGACCAAGATCTGTATGCATGGGTGGGAAGACTCCTCCAGGTCCCTTGGCATATGGTGCTGGATTGCACAGCTTTCACAAAGGCATTTTTGTCTATGGATGGATGGATGCCAAATTGTTGGTGGTGGTGTGGGAGTGGAGGGACATGAATGAAGGACATCTTATTCAGCATGATACTGTTGTATAATTTTAATTTTAATCTAAATAGTCACATTAAGCTAGTGACCACCATAGTGTAGACAACAGTTCTGGAAGCTTTATTATACACATATTGTCTTACTGGAATTCACTTTTAAAAGTAAAATTAAAAGAAACCTGGAAATTATTGACTTTTAGGTATTCAATTAGTAGCAGTAAATAACAACTAAGCAAAAAGTAACATTTCTGGCATGCAATGCCAGAGTTGTGATCCAAAAGCTTGTTTTCCTTCATAAAGCAGTTATCAGAAATCATTAAAGAATTCCTCTTAACCTCTTTCAAGACAAATACCACAACAACATACCAGGGTTCCATTTACGTCCTGACTCAGGTTCTTCATCTCCCCGACAATGAAAGCAACTAGGTAAGTGCTCATCTTCACGCTCTCAGAAAACTCATCCTGAACAAGTCCATCTTCTACAGGGACTGATGATGTCTATAAGCAAAGGGAAAAGATGACAGTTCTGTAACTATGGGAATAAATGACCGTGACAAAAACAAAACAAAACAAAACAAAAACTGAGAAACTAAAAATCCAAATAGGAAATTATTAAAGGTGTTGGAATGTTTTAATCTCTTAGCACACGTTTCTAAACAGAGCATGGCCCTTAGTCTCGGTATGTTCTACTAGCCTTCATCATGAAGATACGCTAATTACAGTGAAAATCCTTAAGGAGCTTTTAGTCTCAACAGATGGCTTTAAATAAATGTATAAGTTAGAGGCAGTAAGTAACAGTGCTCTGTTTCTCCCCTTTAAAACACCACCCTTCCTTATGACCTAGGAGTGCTCTTCTCTAGTGCTACAAATATTGGGTTGTCGGAAAAGTCATGACATATTTTTTCTATGTTTTTCGTTGCACAAATGTGTCATGACTTTTCTGACAACCCAATACATTCACAGAAGGAGCTACAGCTGGGCTATCCCTCCAAGATGTCTGAAATGGCTTCAGAAAATACCATGCTGATAACCCCAAGAAGGTTAAGTGGGATCGAAGACATAAGTCACTAGAGAAGTCTACAATACGCACAAGATGGGGGAATGCACGCAACCTTACAGGGTTTTCTGACCAAGAATTCAGGTATGTTTTGGGATATGAGGCAAGTAGGCACCCTCCTCTTTGAGAATATGGCTGGGAGTGGAGCTGTTGATGTGATGTCCCTGTTGAAGGACAGCTCATGCCCTCTCCTGCCCACACGGGTGAGCTCCATAGCTTGTCAGCTGTGGCTGCCCCTCTTCCCCAGTCACATGGGTTCTTAGAGGCTCCTGTCAGGCTGCACACAGCCCCTCGGGTGTCAACAAAAGGATCCCCAAGTTCTGTGTAGCACAAAAACAATCCTGCTTGGTTTTACCCTTCCTGCCTCCCATGCAGAGCTTATATCCAAGACAGACGTTTGTGTTCTTGTTAAACCTCCACATTACAATCCTCATTTTTCAATAAGCAGTAAAACAGCAAGGTCAATCGAGATTCAACACTATCAAGTTTCACTGTTTAGAATAGCAAATTCACCATATCTCAGGAAATATCACTGTGACCTTCAGCACTCGTTTATAATATTAATAATTTTTATACAACTTTAATATGTAGTACATATTTCATATTTCCTGACCATACATTCCACATCCAGCAGGTCTTTTTCTTAAGTGCTCCTCAGGCTGACTTCCCAATTGATTTCAACATATATTTTAACTTGTATTTATATATCTTAAGAAAGAATAAGAATGTATGAGATCTTAATCATTCTCAACAGTATGGCAAAGAGAAATTCAAGTATTCATAACAAAGAAAGAGACCCACTCAAAGACTTTATAATCCAGGAACAGAACGGTACCTTAGGCATATTGGATAAAGCAGTGTATTGCTCCTCCCTTATGATCCTGATGATGAATGTGGCTTTAAACGCTGGTTCATCAAAACAAGGAAAAGCAGATCTAGCTGCCAGCGGTTCAAACTGAGTTGCTGCAAAGTACCTAAAACAAATGCAAATTTATCCAATAGTTATCAAGCACCTACTATTCAAGGCAACCTGCCAAGTACGGGGATAGTAAGATACACATCATATATGTAATCCCAGTTATTAAAGGATCCACAATCTACTGGGAGAGGTAAACTTGTCAGGCAGCAAATCATGACATAACAGTGAAAACAAAGGGAAGGAAATAAATTCTGACTAGTAGTTGAGACGCTGTAAGGAAAATGGCTGACAAAATCTGAAGAGGGCCTTAAAAAACGAGGAATATTTGAAAAGGTAGAGAAGGGAAGAGTGCACATTCTAGAAACAGTGGGAAGCACAAGGAAAGAGCAGTGCATGCTCAGGGACTGGAGATGGCTGGCCAATAGAGCTGGAGACAAAGCCACAAAGGTAGGTCTTAAAAGGGCTTCTGATAGAAGATCAGTATGAAGGGTGGTCATTAATTGCCATCCGTCATCTGTACAGACACCGGCTTCATCACACACACTAACCCTCAAACTCACAACTTGCACTTTCATGAAGACTGAGAAAACTCGGTGTCCTGTAGTATGCTGGTCTCCTTTACTCTCTTCAGGAAAGAATCAAACATTTCCCTCCCCTTCCCACAGCACAGCAATGACACTTGAGAATTTGACTCATATAAAAGTCCTCAATTAGAGGCTGGGAGAAAAGTAAAAAAAGCAAAAGAGGAGGGGCAGCCAGTTAGCTCAGGTGGTTAGGGCACAGGCTCATAAACCAAGGTTGCTGGTTCGATTCCCACATGGGCCATGGAGCTGAGCCCTCCACAACTAGATTGAAGACAACTACTTGACTTGGAGCTGATGGGTCCTGGAAAAACACACTGTTCCCCAAAAATATTTTTAAAGAAAAAAAGGAAAAGAGGAGAAAGGCAGATTTTTAATTAAGCAGAGGAATAAAACAGATTTGCATTTGGGAAATCATCCAAACATGGCCATAGAGTAATGAGGGCAAGTGCGGTGGCCCTAGTGTGTATACTGCAGGTACCATCAACATGGTACACACACAACCACCACTTTAGATATGACAGCCTTGCTTGCTTAGGGCTTAGTTTCCACTTTTAAAAGATAAGTAGAAAAGTGTGTGGGATTTGGAGTCAGAAAATATAAACTGTGCAATTTACCAGCCACACGACTTCAGGCGAATCAGTGACCTACGTCTCAATTCCCTTATTTATTAAATTAGGATTGAGGTAGGATCCCCTGACAAACACCTAGGGTTTTTGTTAGAATCAAATAAAACTATTCGTAATAAAAATTACTTGTATGCCATAAAGTCCTACATAGATGATGTTTATTATAAATGCTACAGAGTCATAATTATTCTTTCACACTTAAAAGCATTATACTTTTTCCTGGTAAGGATTTGCCAAATAACTGTTTCTATTGGATAAACTGCAAGAAAGATAACAATCAACATACACAAAACAATGTAAACATATTTCTAACATTACATTTCTTCATCCCACTCCCAAATTTTCATCCAGTTAACAGATTTTGGAAGAGGGCCACAAGGAACCAGGGGATAAAGTTTGATGATATCCATACTCTTCATATAAGAGAGTCTATACTTGGATCACCACTTTGGATAAAAACTGGATCGTGATATTGTAAGACAAATTAAATCTTAAATTATTGTTAAAAGAGATGCAATAATAACTCTCCCATAAAAGTCCCTTAGAGAAGGCTGCCGCTTGATGATACTTAGAATCTGTCCTACCTATTCCTGTGTTGAATGTCTTGAAACTTATTCTTGCAGTAGCGACTGCATTTGCTTTCAGAAATAGTAGTTGCAGTTTGAGTACTACCTCCAGCAGTGCTGAAGACAATTATGAATCAGCAGGGGGTCAGGTAAGAGAATTCAAAGCACCGAGGATATAACAATGCATAATGGAAAAGAATGAATGAGGGAGGCAGTACACCATAGTGGTTAAGAAAACGGCTGTTAGTTAAAATGACCTTGGCTTTGAGTTCCCCTTCTCTACCTGCTAAGCCGTAAGATGTTGGATGAATCACTTTATGTGTCTCTGCCTCCTCATCTGTAAAATGAATAAAATATTAATAGTGGGTTTGATAGGCCAAACAACTAAACATATAAAATGCTTGGAAGTTTGTAGTACTTCAGTGTTCAGCAAATATGGGCCATGATTATCACTGGAATTTAGGAAAGTGCATATGAAGTTCATCATGGCAAGTGAGGTCTGTGAAAAAAAGAAGGGTCAGGTTTTGAAAGACCTTAAACTAAATCCTGTTGGAAATGAGGAACTACTACTGAAGCATCGTAAGCCAAAGACCAACAAGGTAGAAGATGGGTGCAAGAGGAGGAGGAAACTGTGAGAAGAAGCCAGGAGATCAGTTCAGAGGATGCTTCAAGGGTTCAAGCAAAAGACACATTGAAAGACAAAAATATAAAACACATCCCCACCCTAAATTTGTTTACGAGTTCCTTCCATGTCAGTTTGTTATTTAGAACCTTAAGTCTATCATCAACTTCTAGATTTAATTTCAAGGTTACTGACCATCTCCACCTCTTAGATGATGTTGGTAATGTTCCCTTACCATAAGCAATGTAAATTTGTGTTTGGCATTTACATATGTTCGGATTTTCCAATCAATAAGGAATATATCCCTTAATACTTTACCTATTTGTTTAAATATTTATTCTTACTATACCTCGGGGTGGGGAGGGAGTACAAAAACTTCTCTAATAGAACTAAGCAAAATTAAAAGTGGGAAAAAGACCAAAAACTTGCTTTGAATTATAGTTTTCAGACATCTTGAAAGGTATAAATAATCCTCTGTACATACTTTAATCTTACATCCAGATATACATTTATGTAGAACATTCATTTTACTGAACCAGAGTGGTTAATGAATGTGTATATTTTTTTGTAACAGCAGTTTCACAGACTAATTTTTAAAATACTATTTTTTTAATACTTTGTTTCTTGATTTTAAGAAACTGTCTTCCATTTTTCTAGCATTTTCCACAACTCAATCCAGCCCATGGCAGGAGTGAATAAGTGACCATTCTCCAAATTGCCTTATTCTGCCACATGATGTTTTTCTTCCCGTTATATAGTAGTAGGTCCAAGTGACTCAAGAGCACCAATCTGATTGGAAGAGATGATAAAGGATTTGTCTTAAAAGTTTGCTTGCATACTAAGAACATTGTTTTTATATAGATATATCCTACAGTTACTAAAGATAATAGAGATTATAGAAGGAGAAGTAAAGCCAAGAGGCCCGAGCTGCTATTGCAGTTATCAACTTGCTTTTAATGTCAGATCTCATGAAGAGCCAGCATGCCAAGTATTGCATAAAGGGACACGAGAAAAATTACTAATCTGAATAGGACTGCAGATCCTGCTTTTGTCTCTTTCTCCATTTAAGGATAACAAAACTTCCTCAAATAGATTTAAAATATTTGTCTCTAGTTTCCTCAATACACCAACATACAGTAGCCAAATGGCCAGCATTAGTAATTCACAAACTGGTTTACAAAGTAATATGAGAAAATGTTTCAACTGCATTAAGCAGATCTCACAGCACTTTGTGCACACAAGAGGACTGACATTATGCTAATTAACAATAACCTGTTTGCAGCATGCTCTGCATTTTTCAGGAAATTTGAACTATAAGCTATGGATACTAAGATTAAAGTACAAAATATATGGTCCAAATAGGGGGCTGAAAATGCTTTTATGTTTTGAGTCACTGCTTTAAAAACCAAATTAAGTCTCTTCTAGATTTTTAAAAAATTTCCATCAGAAATTCGAAAGAGTAGCATTTTTAGAAAACAAACCAGTAAAGATTAAGAATACTAAAAATGATACATGTAAGCATACAACACTTCTTCACACCCTTTTTCTCCGTCTCACTAAGTACTTCCTAAAAGTTCTGCACATTAAGAAAATAGCTCTTAAAGAATAATCCATATTCTTTCCTCTGTGCTTCCGATCAAGATCTCATAAGGTGAGAGAAAACGAGATTCATCTTATAAAATGTAAAAAGCTCAAGATAACATAAGTTTTCGTGATAGATTGTAAGTGATATAATCTTTATCCATTTCCTTCCATCAGCATTTCCTCCCACCCCCGCCATGATATATGATATATGCTCAAGGCTTCAATTAAAAGAGAAACAGTACATTCTTCCAAATCACTCTTCTACTATTTTACACGTAACATCCTAAATTTTTAAAAATTGCAGTTCATGTCTCTGGTATGGGCAAAGGAATACAGACTGCAGAAGTCATCAGAGAGCAAAGGGGCAGGATCATTTCAGAGGGCTACATACTTTTTCTCTTTACTTTCATCTGTGTAGGAGATGCCATAAAACCCACTGTAAGAGCTAGATATATTGGCTGAGTACTCTATCTTCAAGGTATAATTCTGCCCTTCAAGAAGGGTTTCAGGGGCGACAATGGCGATTTGTTCATGAAATGGATATTCCAAGACCTCAACTTGTTTTTCCTGGCTTGAAGCTGCTGACATAAAGGTCGCTCTTGAAATATTATGGCATTTGCTGTGAAGAATAATATTCCAAGTGGCCTGAAGAGCCTGGAGTGAAATCGTCACAGAACCTGTAAATGTCATTGAGGTTAGGTTTGGGTGTAGGGTAAGTTCATAGCGTAGTGGCATGATGGCAGTGGGCAGCCTGTCTTGAGCCCACGGAAACAGCTTCCCATTGGTCGCAACCGGCTGGATTAGTCCCATGGATTGGTTTTTCTTATGGCACCCTTCTTTGGTAAAGGTACACCTGGGCAGTAGATAAATCACCATGATTACAGAAACAGCGACCAAAATGACCAAAGCGCAGACCCCTATGGTCCTCGCCGAGGGCACGGAACAGGGTCCATCTGGGCTCTGCCTGTAGCCGGCCACACTGTTCCGAAGGCCTGAGCTTCTGTTCATGAAGGACATGCCCAGCAGCTTTGCAGATGACTCGTAATCCTCTTCGTCCTCGTCCATCTCATGCTCACCAAGACCGCGCACCAGCAGTCGGGAGCCCCGGGGCTCATATTCCACCTCGTCAGGCTCCAGAGGGTGTAAACAAGGCTCTTTGGCTAAATCCACCACATCTGGTTCTTCCTCAAACATGCTGTTTTCAATCATGTTCCTGGGGAGCTGAAGCCGATCTAAAATACCAAAACATAAGGACAAGGCACAGAGTTAGGAAGAAAAGCTCATAATAAGCTGTCTGCTAACAAGACCACTTTTAAGATTTTTTTTTTATTACTAAGACTTATTTCCATCTCAGAGCTACTGAACTAAGTAAGATGCTTATAATTTTCTTGTATCCATTAAAAACTCACGCATAAATAAATGTACACTACGATCATGAAATAAGAAAGCAAAATAAACAGACTAGTATCAAAACAAGGTATCCGAGACTCAATACTAATTTCCTTAACACACTCCTGCCCAACAACCTGGACTCTTGTCCTGAGCCTTTAGGGGCGATGCTTTGGCCTGCCTCTGGCTGTGCCTGACCCCACAGGGTGAGGAGTCAATAAGATCAGAGATGTGCTCACCCATAGTCCATGTCCCCTTTCTGGGGTTCTGGCCCCAGAATCCCAGAATTCCTGCATTGAGGGCCTTTGTGGGTCTCTTCTCTGAGTCCCATTGTCCCTAAGGAGGGCCCCACACAGGTATGCCCCGTTATAGTCCTAAATAGTGGTCAAGCAACAGGCTGGGTTATTTTTTCCTCCCAGAAGAGTGATGTTTCTGTTCTACAGCAAACTGAAAGTTGGCAAATTATATAGGAAATTTCCATAACCAAGAAATAATTTTAAAAAAGACAAAAGAACTGTAAAAATCAGATAAAATTACAATCCAACCTGTTTTTTCATGCTTCTGGGGCATTCAGAAGCACAACATATTCCCCTCTGTAACAACCACATTACACGACATGAGTATTAAGTGGATCTTGGGATGAGGTAATGGTGGGAGCTTTTATAAACTACAAAGAACCACACTCTCCAACTTGCTAAGAGTCACTGAGAAAGAAAAGACTCAAAAAGTAGATGGATAAATAATCACATATAGATCAATAATTCCTAGGATCAGATTATTCAATGTTCTTTATGTAAGAATCATAGAATTTTAGCTTTTAAGGGATCTCAACAATTTGATCGTTGAAACCCCTATTAACCTTTCCCTACGAGGCACTTTATACATATCATTTCTAACCTTCACAACAACTATAAAATGGGGAGTATTATAATTATTTCAGACATGAGAAAACAAACAAACAAAAATTATCTCTATAATGTCACAGTTATTTAGTCACAAAACTGACATTGGAGCCCCTTTCTAAAAATCTAATTATAAATTTTAGATTCTTTCCATTAATATATTGCATCCCTCTACTCAACTAATTCAATAAAGGATGAGAGCTTATACCTAAATTATTTATTTCTTTTGTGCTTGGCAATGAAGTTGCCAAGAATATTATTTTGCCATTAGCAGAGAAAAACACATAAAATTACTTAATATCTAGTTTAACAGAAATGCCATGTAGTTTGTGCTATTCAACAAATACTAAATAACTAAACAATGGCAGCTCATAACCCATGAAACAAAGTATCAATAAATATTAAGATAAAATTTACAGTCTTGCTACTCAAAGTGTGTGGTCTATGGAGCATCTGCAACACATTGCAGCTTTTTGGAAGAGTAGACAGGCTCCAAGTCCCTTCCCTGAATTGAAGTTTAACAAATTCTCAGCTGATTTATGTGCCCATAAGCTTGAGAAGCACTGGTTTAAGCCTTCTCCATGGTCAGCACTAGACACTCCATTCCTGGGTGTGCTCCAGCCACCCCAAACTTCTTTCTATTCCGAGAATAGCCAGGCTGCTCGTTCATGCCATCTTCCTCTCTGCTCCCTTTGTCTGCAATGTCATCATTTCCCCCTTCCATCCCAGCCCACCTGGTGAAGACCCGTTATTCCATAACTCAGCTTAACTTGCTACAATGTAAATTAAGAAAAATTATTTTTTTATTCCCTTTTAAAAATACATTTTGTTTTCACTTCAACTCACCCATTGTTGCTTTGGGGAGCACAGAGACACCAATTAGGTTGTCTTTTCCTACCTCCTATCTATCCTGAACTTCATAAAAACTATACTACTTTAAATAAAAGTTTTCTTTGAATAACACTTTTTAATCACTTTCTAGGTATGGGTTTAGCAAGCTGCCATCTATCCATCTCCTGGGAATGGTCTGGAAATAGAAGAAGGGTGATAGTTCTAATATCCTGCTTTGGAAATTTAGTCTCCTAAACTTCCTATAGCGCCCCAAGTTTTTATGGCAGTTTTGTTTTAATAGTTAATTGTGCTTGGGGGCCATTTACTTCATTAACAGAGCAAATATTGCTACAATTGAACTTAAATTTTTTTTTAACTCTTAATGAACAGTTAATGGTTAGAAATTTTCTGTAGTAGTTTATTAATACCTGGTGTGCTCCAGATTACCGGTAGTTGCTTAATTTGCTTTTCTATTTTAAAACACCTAAAAAGCCTTTTACGACTTACTTATCTCATATGGGAAAATCATGTTCTCTTAGGCATTTGCCCGTGTTTTGGTCTGTCAGACCTGATGCAGACAACAGTGAGGTCTGAGCAGTACGGTATCATTTAATAAATTTCTACACCAACTCTAGGTATGATTTCAGCTTACTATTTAGAGCATTCCCATCCCTGAATTCCATCCCCCTAGATGTTTGTTTCTGTATTTTGTATTCCTCAGCCATGCCCTATTTAAAGCCAACAGGTCATCTACAAGTCTGACCATTTTAGCATCTCCTGTTTGCAGGTCATTAATTTCAAATCTGTGACACGGGCTTAGTCAGATGCCTGCCAAAATCCAGATAACTTACTTTTACTATTTATCTCACAGTCAGATTAATACTATGTAGAATTTTAGTCTTTCATAAATGGAACACATTGACCTATCTGCTGTATTTTACTGCACATTAGAAACAAATTTGTAGGTGTGTACAATTATATCAAATTAAATATATCAAACCAGAGGAAATCACTTTCATTACAGGTAGCCCATGAGGGCTGTACTTCACACCTATTTAAGAAAATGTTGCTTTGGCTTCTTAAGTCGGGTACCCTTTGATCTTAGCATTAAATTGTAACGTAACACACGACTACCCTTTGCTCTCATGGAATTTATTTGTATTGATAAAAGGGATCCTAAAGAAACAGGAAATTTTCTAAAGCCTCTTAAATCCACAAACACAAGCTATCTATAAGCCAAAAGCAAAGAATGTCCTAGTTGAAATGTTTCAGTTTTAAATAACAAAGGCCCATGTGGTTATAATCTAAGAAAACTGAAGACATTTCTTTTCATCAGACACCGTTAACTGGTGCTCCTTGACGTTGTCTGTGGACCACTGCCAATCTGCACACTGTGTTACTTGTCTGTGACAGGATACACATAGAAAAATCAGTATTTAAAAACTTCTATAGCAATTTGACAGTAATTTTATGTCTATAGAATTTAATAATTTAAAAATAAAGCTTATATTTTGCATGTCTTTTTTCATTTCAGTTTTCCAATAATTTACCTTTTATATGCCTACAAATTTTCTGCAACGGATTAAAAATTTAAAAACAAGAAACCTTGATTTTTCATCAGAGGTAATGTGAGAAGCGATGAGTTGGATTGTCACTATAATGGCAATCCAGGTTGATATAAAGTTCTCAACTGTGACAATGGCAATGGAAGTGAAAAGGAGGGCATGATTACAAGTCATATTAAAGAGGGAAGTTGATGTCAATTCTTCATACACATTCTGGCTTGGATAATTAGAAGAAGGAATGCCATTCATTGAGATTAAGATACAGGTTTTCATATTCTCTTTATTAAAAAAAATAAAACTTCTTTGGAGAGAGTAGTGAGAATGGAGCTATGAGATGGCATTCGGTATGGGACATGACATATTTAATATATTTGTCAGATTGCCAGGTGAAGATGTTTGGTTAATAGCATAGTACAGAGTTAAAGGCCTAACGTCAGACAGAGGTTGAAATTCTGGCTCTTCTACTGACTGCTTGATCTCAAACAGGTTACCAAACTTGTCTTAGTTTCAATTTCCTCACCTATAAATGTGGAAAACATTACTATTTTGTAGGACACTTACAAAGGGTGACCCAAGTACAAAGTATGGATGATAAGTTCAGTAAATACCCACTAGAAAATGTCAAGTCACCAGTCTCCATAAATGTGGTTAGCAGTGCTTACCAGCTCAGGTCTAAAAAAGAAAGTGTGTTATGTGTATTTTACCACAATTACAAATAAAAAGTAAATGAAAAAACTTTTTGTTTTAAGTAGAGAAAGCAGATGGTAATCCAGGGTTAAATATGTAAGGAGGATATGATGAGAAGCAGCTAAGGGAAAATGCATAGAGGGTGCTGGCAAAAGAGTAAGTGATTAACTGAGGAGTTCAACTTATTATAAAAAAACATAACAAAAAGTAAAGCTATGGGGCCGGCCGAGTGGCGCGATGGTTAAGAACTGGCTTGGGACGCCAGAGGGCCCCGGTTCGGATCCTACATATGAGGGCCAGTGACACTGCCTTCCACAGCTGAGATGCTGAACAACAGCTCAACCTGGAGCTGGGCTGCC